AAAAAAAAGTCAGATTTTGTAAATCTCATTGAAATCCTGGTGCAAAGATAGAAAAAGGACGATAGTTTGTTACCAAGCTTACCTGCCAAGTTTTAATCCTCACCCCATTCTTTGTATTGGACAAGGAAGCCCCGTCTACCATCACATCATTCACCTGTGACCATGAGTGCCCTTTTCCCAAGCTTCCAATACTAAGGATGTAAGTTAAGAGTCAATTAGGGTGTTTCCTGATGCTCAAGCTCTTAAATTATTCCGAAATAAAAATAGAAAGAAAAGAGGAGACTCTTACCTAATGCCATGACCTGGGCCACAGGCAATGCCTTTTATACGAATTTGTGAGGAATTGCCGACGATAGAAATGCAGTCATCTCCTGGAGTAAGTTAAAAAATCTGTATAAGATAATGAATTTGAGCATAAGTAGATATAAAGAGTTCATTATAAGATACTTCAGAAAGAAAAAGGCTCTGAAGTAACTGAGAAGGAGATGAATAAATGGAAGTGGCCCTCATAAACGCATTCTCGGTAGTGCTCAACTTTGTTTTCAATAACATTCCATTTCAAGGAAACTCGCCTTAAAACATGAGAAAAAAATAAAATTTCATTCGTCATCTGCAGTATAACTTACCCAAATCCATTTAAATCGATGCAAAGTTTTTACAGTTTAGAATTGTAATCAGCATCTGCAAAACTAAGGCAGGCTTGTCGCAAAAAGCTTACCTGTCCTGAATATGCTGTCCTTGACCTTAACACCAATTGATGAGCTAATGTGGACTGCATCAGTATTAGGACTAGAAGGAGGTGATAAGAGTGTGAGATTGGCTACTGAAACCCAAGCACACTCGGTCAATGCCACGTGCATCTGTTGACTATTAAGAACCATAAGGTCCTTGACTTTCAAATGCTCGCACTTATGGAAAGTAATTACCTGTAGGATAATTGTAATCATTTACAAAAACTATAACATCAGCAAAAGCTAAAATTATAAAAAGGAAACTAACTTGCAGGCTCAGGCCTTGAAAATAAAGCAGCACTTACTGTTGGAGCATGTCGGCATGGCTGCAGAACAAAACAGTCTCTTAGCATACCAGCAGGTAAAAATTTATACATTGATGAAAACCGAATTCACGAGTACAGTATAGTAATATACACTTGAGGAATTGACCTTGCAAGAGCGAGACCACCATTTCTGTCCTCTCCCATTGATTGTCCCTCCCCCTTTAACGGTGAGGTGGTTCACATTATGGATGTACAGCCATTTTCTTGGATTCAAGCCAAGCCAGGCTTCGGGATCTTTGGGAGCAATGATGGTTCCATAAATCTACCAAGATTATGCAATACAATCCAATGTGGTTGATATGACTTATGAAACGTAATGGAAATTGTTATATAAAGAAAGATCAAGGAAAACCTTGGCATAGATCATACCATTAAGGTGACCTTCGAAAGACAAGGTCCGCCAAGATAAATAGGATGGACCAAGAAAGAACTTCCGAAAGGAGCTACAATTGCTGTTTTCACAGGTGATGAACAAGCTATGTCCCAAGCATTTACAAAAGCCTGAGAAAATGAAAATAGTAGTAGCAATCCGTTATCAGAACATAGCTATATTCTATATCAAAACCGGTTATTAAAGCACAGTTTATAAATCATGAATGCTTAGTTTTAAACATCTCTAAACATTGGAAAGGATGAACATCTCTG